ACAGAAGACACAGTAGGAGATATTAAGGCAATTGAGAACCCTGAGCATTGTGATGTCACGAGCTTAAAACTATAACGCGCCCTAATCCCAGCAATATATATATGTATAAATATATCATGGTGTCTTGTGGGTTTCATCGCTCACTTGCAACCATCGTCCCTATTTAGTGGATCATATATATTAAAGCATTCTCATCGGGAGATGAACCCCTTGCCAAATAGTTGCTCGTCCTCAGCCTCAGCCCTCATCCCTTATCCCTTGAAAAGCTGAATTATCGGCATATCTTTAACCGTTTCTCTTAAACCTCTTTCATCAGTCATCATCTAGCCTCAGTATCATCATCAATTACAAGCAATCCATTTGTCATAATGTTGTCTAAATCGATAGCTGACAACAGAAAATCCGCGTATTCATACCAACCGTGGAATAATATCAATAATAATAATAATAATAATAATACTTTATCATGAAATGAATCATGAGTATAAAGTAACTTTTGTTAGATATTAACGGAGGTTGTTAGCATCAGTATGATCTGACAATGAAATAGAGGACAAGAAGTAAAGTAGGAGGTCAGAGAAACTGCTAAGAGCAGAGTTAGAGGTGAGAAGCATAGTCTTACACGCGAGGCAACCATCGGCATCTGTTCGCGAAGGAATTACGACGTAACTTTGTCTCCTAAGATAACGCGACAGTTCTCTGTAGCTGAGAGGTGAGCACACAGCACACAAGGATGTAACTCGGTTCGTTGAATCAGTGTATGTGTGTGTTACGTTGAACCGCTATGACTACGAGGTGTGGCGGCATCAGAGGAGTCAGAGGAGTGTGTATGATGGGTGAGACTCTGCTCGAGTTTCCATTGGGGTGGTTCTTGCGATATAAGCTTTCTCTCTCTCAGTCTCTTGTCGATGTTCTCCGTCTATCTGGCTCGAATTCCCGCGTCTACTCCACGCTCGACTCTGCACTCATGCACACAGATCCGCTGTAGCTGGATGATTCTCGCTTGCTTCCATGGAATCCCGGGATGCGATCTCTGTACCGAGCAGAGTAGTACGGTACCTCTGCTCTACACATGGTAGACTCCTCTGTAGCTAGCAGTCAGCAGCCAGCAGCCACCCTCGATGAGTCAACCCTCTTGCCGCGCTACCCGCCCGCTAGACCCCAGCGAGACATACAGCATACCCACTATCACCCACAGATAGTGGTTCGGTCACTCTGTGCTATGGGGTGTCGCGGGCTCATACATATTCAGCGGATGCATCACCCGACCTCCAACATCTATCCCGACCGGTCATCTATTGACCCGACTACCAAGTTAACTTCCTCCTCTCCAACAGGACGATTGTTTTCCCGTCCTGGAAATGGAACTCGAATTACAGGCCAGTTTTCGAGTCCGATTGATGTTTAGGCGTTTTATCAAAACCCGAAAGCGCCGTTGGGACCTCGAACGAGCCGTCAGTAACTTTGCTTTCTATTCCAACTACCCCTTCTATCATCACACTTCTATCTGCCTACACACCTATATACCCACATACCTACCCTATATATTTATAAATGGATATCTGCACAGTGTTGTTACACTATTTTTCACAATATTTTTATTTTTTCCCTTCGTTAAGTTTCTGCTGTTACATTACAAGGTTTTTATCTTTTGCAGTCATTTTTGAGAAATATTTTTATAGTTAAAAATTTATTTATGTAATATTTGTTTTTAACATTAAAATTTTTATTGAAATATGTCAAAGAAAATTATAAAATTACTCATTCAATAATTTTTTTAAATATTTGTATTATTAATTTTCTAAAATACGAATTTTTTACATATGATAATAATAATAATAAAAGCCCTAATGGATAAAAAATAGACAGCAGGCAGTGTATTACAACAATCAAAAAGTAATTTACTTGTGAGGAATCGAGAGTTTGATCATTTTTCATTTCTTCCGTAACGGACTGTGGCCTCTGCTAATGAAGAATTAAGTGCTGGTCGAGACTCGTTAGACTCCAAGTTAACCCAACTCCTCTGGGTCGACTGCTGCTCAGACTTTTCACTCAATTACCGCCGGTACTGAAGAAAATTCTCAAGATTTTGGATATCAATCTGTTCATTTTCCCTTTATTTTTGTTTTTTTTTTCAATTAAAGGTGAAATGAAATTTAAATTAAAACCGAGGTTCGCAAAATTACTTCTTCTGCTACACTGTCAAAGTCAGAAAACAAATAGAAGAGAATTCCGTAAAATATTTACATGACAATTAGCGCAGTCGACAAAAATGACACGTAATTGATATAAATACGGCCGACAGCGTAACTGGTACCAGAATGTACTAAATATTAATCCGCGTCTCACTCTTACAACTCTTTGGATGGAGATTTATACACGTAAATACAGGTATGTATGTACATAAAATATGTTAAATGTGCATATCCAGTGTGCGAGGATACACCAGAACAGATATAGGCAAGCTGGCTGGTGCAGTGGCCGCGTGGACCGGCTCTGCATAATTTAGCATAAATAATAAATAATATTGTGAACACGTGCCGACGTTTGAAGCATCGTGCGTCACTAATAGCTCCACCGATATATATATACCTGAATATCGCACACATTATACATACTTAAGGCTGTAATATTTAATTTTTATTTTTATTATTCCGGCTGTTGGTTTTTAAAACGTCCAAAAGTTATCATCAACATGTCAATAACTATTTCAACGAATATAACGCGTTCATCTTAATTATAACTATAATGATAATGATCATCATATCATAATACGTATATATAACTTGTAACTCAAACTCGTAACATACAATTAATTATAAATACAGTTCGTCATAAAAAATCAACATGCAGAAGACCTCATTCCTGAACTTTTTGGTAGCGCCAGACGCAAGTGTACGCATTTTAATCCGATATATATTTATATTTAACTTTGTTCAACATTTTCACACAGTCTGAATCACCTGATTAATAATTCAATTACTTAATATTCAACGACTCAATTCAACAGTCATTCTATTCAATTGATTTTTTAAATCGATATATCTCTATCTATAGATATATATTTGTTTACTTATATTTATCCATATGTGACTGTCGATATAAATATACAAAGTTAAATGCATTTATTGAAGATGCAAACGAAGATGAATCAACAGACTGGCACTCGGCCAGTATCCCGATGCCGATTTGCGCTTCAACGAGTTTCGTGGCATTAATGACTAATGAGAGTCACGAGAGTATCAAACGTGCCTTGCATTCACAATATCCATCCCATCACTCTAATGAATGATAAATAAAACAAATAAATGTCAATAAATACTTCAGACATAGAAAGAAAAACATTTTTCGTGATTGTGACACATGCTTTGAGAATATTCCGAATATAAAAACAATTATAATCTATATTATTAAGAGAATAAGAAAAATTTTGTGTTCAGGATAGTCATATGATAAAATCGGTTTTTTTTAGTGAAATTTAGTGTCATTGTAAAGGTCTTGATTTGAATTTGTGCCTTTTCAAGGTTTCATATCATTCTCACCGATAATCAATTTATTATGATAAGTATTTAGGCTGCATTCGAAAGTGCTCTATCTCTAGATACAAAATTAAGAAATGACCTTGTATCTTGTGAACCATTGACATTTTTAAAGATTTAAGCTTATCCCGGTGTTACACTTATCAAGACCTTTCATTTGAGTACCCACATCAATTTTTCATATATTTATATAAATCGTATATATGTATATATGAAAAATATATAAAATATGCATGTGGGTACTCAAATGAAAGCTCTTGATGAGTGTAATATAGAAATGAGCTTATATCTTTAAAAACGTCAATATTTAAGAAAATACAGAGCAATTTAACAAAAGTCATTATTTAATAAAGCAAAATTGTATTTATTTACAGTTCACAAGTCACGACAGTCACATAGTGACTGCAAGGTTGCTAGTTATAATCATAATCAATTATAGAATTGAAATTGTTTGAATGCTATTAAAGTATTTGCTACTTTTCTACTGAAAATAAACGACTTAGGGGCAGCACAGAAACTAAAAGCAATCTTGATTCGGCAGAGTAACGTATTCTCTTGTTTTGTCAACGTTTTATTCAAAATTTTTTTGGTCTTTGGCTTCGAAGGTGGTAATTACTAATGAGGAAAGGCCAGTAGTCCGGTTCGCTATTGGTCGGTCGTCCCATTCGCGTGTAACCCCGAGAATGATGCTAATCTTGTCGCGGTCCACGAATACTTGGAAGAGTAACGAAGACGATGATTAAGAAGAATAAAAAGAGTTGGGCTGCGTGTCTTGTGAGCATACGCTGGACACTGGAGGTTTATTGCTGAGGAACTTTGCTCCAGAGGTACAAGTCCTCTGCTCGGAGAAAGAGGGTATAAATGTAAGAGTTTGGTGAGCCCGCCAGTGCGAAAAGGAGCCACCCAAACAGCTTTCGTCTCCTAATACCTTTTATCACGAATTAAGATGTTGTCGGGGTGTGGTAAGGATTTTTTTTTTTTCATCTTTTTTATTTATTTTTTTTATTGTTAGACTGTCTGCTGGGGTATAATAACGTGCAACGCATTAATTTCCACAGAGATTGTGATATCCTTTTTTATTTTGTTATTTTATTATTTTTTTTATTTTTTAACCGTTTGGATATTGTGAAAACGATCGGCTGTGAATATTTATGAAGAACGTGTGGGAGATAAGAAAATAACGCGTCATCGAAAATTGGAACTCATATGTTATTTTCAGTTCCGCGAATGAGAAGTGATGGATTTTATGTCGATGTTTTAAATTTTGAAACTAGTCGTTAAAAAATTTTTATTGAAGAACTCCCTCAGGTTTTCAGGAGAGTTGGCACTCAATCAATTCTTCTTCCATGGATATTTTTTATTAAGTTAAAAAGTACAGAGTTTGATAAATATATTTTCATATCAAGCAAGTATTAAAAATTTATGAGTTTATGTAGTGATGTGGGATGAAATTTTTATAATTTAAAGTTCACTGTCTGAATCTCCAGGTGCTAGAAGAGAACTTCCATCATTCGGTCCACTACCAGATCCAGAACCATCAATGTCAGATCCAGAACCATCAACGTAAGGGTCATCTGCAATAACATTTAGTGTAAAAATTGAAGACAAATAATGAAATAAAAACTTACCAGGTTTCAATTTAATTGAAGCTGAAGAAGTCTCAACGGGAATAGCAGTCGTTGTTTTTAGAAAAGATGTAATTTTTGTTAGTTAAAAGATCTTGTCCGCTAAAAAAGTTCAAAAATGTACATATTTTTATTGTACTCACGAAATTTGTTCTCTCTCTTGTCTTGATTTAGAAAAACGATCTCGCGTTCAAATTGACTATAATAATTTTGGGGCGAGTGTCTTATTGGTATCACAAATGCCTAAAAGATTCACGAATATGATGATAAATTTTACTACGATCTAGCTTCGAAATTAGAATGTACTCACTTCAGATTCGCCCATTAAAAGTATGAACAAACCATTAGTTAAAACCACCAAAGCGAATACTTTCATTTTTAAGTATAATTTAAATTCAAATCTCTGTGCTCGAGTAATGTCCTTCACTCAGTGGATTAAATTGAATGTATACCGAGCTATTTAAATAACTTACAACTAATCAAGAACGTGAAACTACAATAATTTAGCATTTAACATTTGATAAAATTCTTTGCATTATCCCATACGAACTCGGCTAAATTTATTATCTTACATTGATTGTTTTTAAATGGAAATTCATTGATTAATCAGGTAATCCATTGTTTTCACTTATTGTTATTAAACATATAATTTACAACAACTTTGTCCGTATTACGATGTTTTAAAGTTATACAGGTATCATCAACATTAATATCTCCAGGAAGTAAGCTGTTATTTCAAGCTTCAAGGTCTTTAAATTAAAAAAAAATGAGTAAAATTTTAATAACTTTTATTGAAAAAATTGTATTATATATATGACTAGTTCAACTCTTTCTAAAATTCAGTCATCATAAAAAAAAGTAATTATATATTTTATTTTACATAAAAATAATCTTTCTCAATTAATAATTTTTTTTTTTTTAATTAAAGCAATAACTTCGACAATTAAAATTATTTCGTCCACTTAAATAATTTTTTTATTGGTGCGATAAATAAAAATGAAAACTATTATCATCATTAGCATTAAGCTACTAGTAGTCTAATGTCTCTTTTAGGCAATTAAGGAGTCGCCTTTCTGTTAAAGGTGCATCAGTGTAATCGAACCCCGCGGCACCTTTTACAAACGGGTTTATCAATGCATATTGGAAACAAGTTAGTCATTGAGAGTTGTCGGTTTGAAAAGCAAATAAATAAACAAAGAAAAAAATGTTGATTTTTTTATCAGCCAGTTGCCTGAATGTATTTATTTTTCATTTGTATTATTTTTATATTTATATTTATATTTATTTTAGCCATTTTATACCTGAACGGTTTTTTATCTTGCATCCTCTGTGCATCCTCTTTCACCAGTGGCTGGTTGCGATTGCAGGGTCCTTTTCGTGGATCCAGTTGATGGCAACAAGGGCACACACGAGTGCACACACAACATATCCAGTTGGGCCCTGAAATATGCCGCGAGTTGTGAGTTAGTTTAATATGCAAATCGGCAAAGATAACGGGCTCGATCCGTGAAGAGTGGAGACGACTAAGTCGTGATTCCAGTAGCCGTGTCTACTCCTGCTGGTACTCGATCTACCCCCTGGCCTCCCTCTCGTGTGTCCCCGAGCCACACGATCCCGTGGCTTAAAGACAGATGAGAATTAAAATAAGAATAACAGCACAAACGAATGAAAGAGAGTAACAGAGTGATAAAAAATAAAAAAAAAAAAACAAAACGAAAAGAGTTGATCGCGTTTATTCCATGCCGCCAGCAGAGAAACCTCACCAGCACGAACCAAAGACCAAAGGAAAGACACTCTCTACTCTCTACTCTCTGCTCCTGCGCTTCCTCTGAGTGAATTGAGAGATAACAGCCTACATTTATAATTCCTACCATTCTTTTCTTTTTCACTATTTTATAAATTAAAAACGAATAAATTTTTTTTATATCTCAAGCATTCACTTATAAACGTTTTGTAAAACAGTTTTTAATCATTAATCATAACTTACATCAAGTTCCAACAAATGAAATTTAAAATTTCAATGATATTGCAAAATGTATTTTTCTATCAAAAAATTTACATTATTTTTAATTAAAATATTTTCTCTGCAAAAATTTTTCATTAAATAAAATTGAAATTCAAGAATTTATTATTCTATATAATTATTGTATATTGTGTAATAAATAATTGTAAAAATCTGTTAAACAAATTTTTGTTTAAAAAAAATATTTCGACTCGAAGAAACAAATAAAAAAAAACTTCTATTGATAAGAAGAGTAAATCTGAGTGCACTGATAATTTATGTATCGACTTAAAGCAATGGGGCCTACAACTAATGGCTCCTGGTGTTTCGTCGAATAATCTCGCTCGTGCTGGTCTCAATATCCTTGAAAGGTTAATCCTGTAATGGTCCGCCTGAGAGATGCGAGAGCGTGTCGTGCGAAGGTGTATCTCTTGTCCTCCATTTCTCAGGATCTGCACCACCCTTCTTCTCCGTTCGCTTAAACTGGAGCTGGTTCGCATCTTAAGACCCCTTTGCTAAGATTCTCCGAGTTTGCTCTAGAAGCATGATCAACAACACTGCAAGTAGACGCTCTGATCTGCTCTCTCGTTCTCTGCACTAGATTAATCAGAAATTCTATTTACTCAAACTAAACCTAACCTAACTATTTTCGAGGTTTATGAGCATAATAGTTGCCGCGCATGCGCGCTTGCTCTATAAATTCGCCCATATTACCTATACGGTGTAGGTATACACTATACAGATATATTGTATACGTGTCAGAGGGTTGGGAGTTAAGATATAAGCGCTTCATTAGGCCGCGAGAGCTCCCTAATTACACACGGTCTCATTAGCAACTGCTTTTATCCCACAATTCCCTCTACTCATCCACAGCCTTAGCCTCAAACTCGTCTTGCTCGCAACCTACCTCAACTACCAGTGTCTCTACTGGCTTCCTATCCTCCATAAACATAATACTTGCCACAACAAATCCATAATGTCCTCGTCTTAACCGCAACACACTATCTTTCACTTTGCTCGATGGAATTACTTTAAAGTTTTCTGTGGTGAGAAACCACAACATTTGCTGCAAACCTAAACGTTAATGAAACTTTAATCTCACTTAAAACTTGTCATATATAAATATAAATATAAATACAGTTGATAAAACATGAATTTGCTTTTAAAAGTTGGTAGAACTTTAAAATATATTTTGACATTTTAGTTAATGTTTATTGACACTTGAGCATCGACGACAGGTTTTCGCATTTAAATAACCGAGTTAAACTGTACTGTAACTTTTCGGTAATTATTATTCACGCGTCACTTATTATTATTGTCAATTTAATTGGAGATGAGCTTCATGTCCAAAGCTAATTTTCATTTATTACCAAGACACATTTCACTCTGTTTAAAAGTTATTTTATTCATTATCATTAGTATAAGTCATCTCTGATCAGGGTACCACCGATAAATAATAAATACCAGTCTTAAAAATTAAAGCAAGTGCACTGAAAAAAAAAGTCAAACTTGATTCTAGAGAAAAAAAATCTTGAACGTTTAAATATTTTTTGCTTCAATCAAAATAATTTTTTTTTTTCTGTCTGTTTACAATTAAATGATGCAGACGTAAAATAAATTTATATAAAATCGATAGCGCGACGATTCAAGACGAGAGTTTGATTAATATAAATAATAAAGTAAAAGCGACGAGAGCAGTGTCTATAGAGTCTATACAGTCTCATTCGTTATGCATTTAAAACGCCTACTCGAAGAACCACTAGTCAAAACTAGCTAACGAACCCTTTTCTTCCCTTTCGTCCGAATACCGTCAGAGAAAGGATAAAGTCCTCCGCCCTTTATTAGATAACCAATGGCGCCTTTACTTGTTCGCTTATTCTAATTCTCTTCTCTTCTCTTTTCTGGGCACGATTGAGTCTAGTGTATAAAGTCACTCTGACTACCAACTCTCGGTTGACTAAAAGGGGTGACTGTCGTGTCAACTCCCCCAGGCGACGATATTCCACCCTCTTCCCAGATTAACGACAACGACGTCGCCGTTCATCTCTTGGGTCCCTCAAGGCTTCGTTAAAATCATCCAGAACGTCATCAGAAACCGCCGTACTAAATTACTAAATCTATTAGCACAGCCACCCACTAATTTTTCCATTCTAAATTTTTTTCCTCCTGGACAAAGCTATTTTATTTGCTTCGTCCAAATAAGAGCCCAACAGGACATCCCTTAACGACTGAACTGTTCAGACGCAGCTCTGTTTAGACACACAGTGACCAACTCCCCGAGACGAATCCCCAATTCCTTGACGCGACGTTTCGATCCGAGGAATTCGATCGACTGTCGCAGATACCTCATCAACATAAACGTTTTTTACGCGGCCGCTTTAACAGACGTATCTTTTTCAACCGAAAGTTCGCTGTTTTCTTTGATCATCTACCATCCAGCTATAGTCTCAATCTGAGCATTCGCCGGTCCCAAATAATGGGAAGGAAGAGGAAGATAAAGAGTTGTATAGGGCACCTGGCCCTCAAATGCTTTAAAGCAGATCAGAGAGCTCAAACTCCGAGGACAAACTTTAAACTGATTGATGTGTGTCCTGTTCTGGGTTGTCGCAGTTCTTCGGGGTTGAATCGCCGCCGGAAGCGGTTCATCACATATCACGTGACTCGCTTGCTCGCTCGGCCTTTGTTCCCAACGATCATTAGTCTGTCAATATGCCCAAACAGTCGTCCGAGCTTCTGTATACTTATTTTTAAATTTTTACTTCATACCCGTACTTGGACAATGCTATTGTTTTCTTCGCGCGTACACCAGAAACTTATTTTTTGTCCTCCAGAAATCCAAATTCCACTTTGAGCTTTGATGTCGCATCGGCTGGATCAAAAAATAAATCCATTGGATGTCCATTGTGTCCAGTAAAAATTTATAAATTTAACAAACGAACGTGCCACACAAATTTTATCGTGTTATATCAACCCAGGGATTATCCTGTTCGGATGCAGCGTCAGACAACAGATGACACTCGTGATTGTGCATTTACAATGACTATTTATTTTATACTGCGTTTATGTTTTATTATTTAATTGTTTTTGTATTTAATAGTCGATGTTAAAAATTTTTTTGACATCGTAAAGTTTGTTTTTTATATCTTTTAAATCGTTAACAAGACTCGTGACATTTGAGTGCTGATTTTATGTTGTATTGACCCATCACGACCGTGATATCATTCACAGATAAATATATACATATGTATATATGTCTAAAGTACCTTTTAAAAGTGAACTTTTACTTTGAGTATGTTTATATTTATATAATCAAAATTAAACGCATTAATCTGATAATTATTATTAATGGTTACCCGAGCATTAAAGTATAAATT